CATTCTGTCCCAAGTCTGGGACCTTTCGCTGCACATTCGCCTAGCGAACTTCCAGCGACCAGTCGCGACCTGCTCGCCTAGCGAGCTGCTAGCGAGCGTCTGTGATTCCCACTTCTCCCCACTGTTCAGAATCCAAAACCACCGATAAAATCACCCGATGAACTCCAACTCATATCCAGTAGCCTTAGTCTAACATATATCGACTAATCTACGTCATCTAATCACGATTCTAACTGTTAGACAACGATTTCTATCGATTAAACCAAATTCAACCTAAAATGGAAAGTGTAGAAAAACTACCAACAATCCAAAACAATCCAACAAAATCATACATGATTATACACATTGATAGAATAATAAAGTTTCACACCCTTACCCGATCAATCGAAAGCTTTGGTGATGATTTCTTGAAGTTCTAGGTTTTCCTCTCCTTTTCTCTCCACTTTCTCTTCTCCTCTTTCTTTCTCTTGTTTTTCTCTCTATGTTACTATATTCCTTTCTTTTCCTCTCTCATCTCATATTTCTATTTCTTTCCTCTCAAATTCTTTCCACACACTAATTAATCAATTCTCACAAAAATATCCACTTAGCATAATCACTAATGCCCAAAATACCCTCCAACCTATTTTTACCCGAAACACTCAAAATCGGTAAAAAGAGAAAATAACATAATATGTACACATAACATATTAAACACATAAATCCTATATTTAAAATAATAATTCAATCAATTAAATTAAAAGGACTCAAAATAAAGGAAATCGGAATCGGGGCGTTACACCTGCAATGGTTGCATAGTGACGCACAAAACGGCGATAGTAACCAGACAGTCCTAGGAACCCACGCAATTGCTTAAAATTAGTAGGGGTAGGCCAATTCAAAACGGCTTGGATTTTGGATTGATCCATTTGAACTCCCTGGTGTGAAATGGTGTGCCCCAAGTAATCAACTTCGGTAAATCCAAAACAACATTTGGATAATTTGGCATATAGGGAATGTGAACGCATTAAGTGCAATACCTCAGTCAAGTGAATCAAATGTGTCTCCCATGAAGGAGAGTAAACCAAAATATCATCGAAAAATACCAAGACAAATTTCCGAAGATGTTGTTGGAAGACATGATTCATTAAACTCTGAAAGGTTGTCGGTGCATTTGATAAGCCAAAGGGAATTACCAGCCATTCGTAAAGGCCTTGGCAAGTCCGAAAGGCTGTTTTATGTCTGTCCGCTTCTTTGACAAGAATTTGGTGGTATCCGGACCTAAGGTCAAGCTTAGAAAAGTAATTAGAGCCATACAATTCATCGAGGAGCTCATCCACAGTGGGGATTGGAAAACTATCTTTGATAGTGATGCATTCAAGGCCCTATAATCGGTACAAAACCGCCAAAATCCATCTTTCTTCTTAACTAATAGCACTGGTGATGAAAAAGGGCTATTGCTAGGTTGTATAATGCCTTGGTCTAACATATCAGCAACCATGGATTCAATTTGAGCTTTTTGACTATGCAGATATCTATAAGGGCGTACCTTAACTGGGTTACTTCCTTTCACCAAGGGAATGGCATGGTCCTAAAACCGAGTTGGTGGTAAACCCCGTGGTTCCACAAAAATATCAGGAAATTGGGATAAAATGGATGCTACTGCAGGATGTGTAAGGGCTTGTTTGCTGCCTATTGATGGTCCCACTTCTTGAAATTGTAGTGTAAAGGAAGCCTCAATAGCATGAGTGTTGTGCAGTCTTCGGATGTGATGGAATTGTGCAGAGTTAGGACCTTTGTGCTTGTCCCCAAATAAAGTCACAAAAGTGTCCTTTAGATAAAACTTGATGGATAATGCGTTGTAATCTGCAACGTTAGGACCTAAAGTTTTTAGCCAAGGAGCTCTAAGGACCAAATTTGCGCCAGTAATAGGGAGCAAATAGACAGGCAGCTAGAGAGTGTGACCCTGCACAAGCACTGGTAATTCAGCAATATAGCCCATAGTTTCAAGAGAATTCCCATTACCTACCATAACCTTAAATTGTTCAGTGGACTCAATCGGTATGTTGAGGCAATGTGCAATTCGAGGTTGCAGAAATTTGTCAGAGCTCCCACTATCTAACAAAACACTGACATGAACACCCTGTATTTGCCCATGAAAACGCAAGGTGCCCGCACCCTGGGACCCATTCAATGCGTTCAAAGATAGATGGTGTTCAAAGTCTCCAACGTGACTAGGTTGAGGTGTGGGTGAATCAGGGGTTTCACTAAAGTGGGGAATTACATGTTCTTCATCGGCTTGAAGCAATAGGAAATGACGATTTGGACATTTGTGGGTAATTGAGAATTTGTCATCGCAATAATAACAAAGGTCTTTCTCTCTACGCAATTGCATCTCTGCTCTTGTAATATTGCGAATGGGATTAGATTTGAGTGGTTGATTTGGTGGTTTTGCTTGAGGCGAGGGGAGAATTGGTGGTGGTGGTTGATTTCGAGGGTTAGGGTACGGAGTGGGGTAGTGGTAAGGTTTGTGGGTGGGCGCCGGTGATTGATTTGGTGGTGGAGGAAAATATTTGTCTTCATACAGTTTGGCAAGGGCAAAAGCACGTGATAGTGATGAAGGAGTCTGAGCAATGACGTCACGTTTAATGTCGATTTTGAGGCCACTGATAAAACAATCGAGGATAGCTTCTGGGCTTAAACCTTGAGCCCTGTTGGCTAGCACAGTAAAAGCATAATAGTAATCACAAACAGTGGTGGATTGGGTCAGTTTGAACAGTGCTGAACGTGGTGATTCATATGGAGAAGGCCCAAATTCCATTTCCAAAGCACGAGTAAACATTCCCCAGGATTGAAAATGTTGATTTCGTGCAATCATCTGAAACCACGGGACAACGTCCTTCTCCATGTACACGGCGGCGATGGTGAAACGGTGGTTGCCCGGTGTCGCATAATAATCAAAAAATTGCTCAGCCTTAAAAATCTAGTTCATGACTTCAGATCCATCGAAACGAGGAAAGTCCAGCTTAATATTACGTACTTGAAATGGTTGTGATGGCGGCGGAGTCGGCGTAGCAGAGCCCTTTCCATCGGAGGTCTGCTGTATCTGAAGCGAGCTCAACTGTTTCTCAACTTGTTCGAAGTGAGCTTGATCCAGATGGCGATGTTGCATATACTCATTGTGACGGCGATCTGAATCCTCCAAAAATCTTTGTAAGGTTTTGGTCATTTCGGCTATGGAGTTTTCCATACTTTTCATACGAGTATTCTCCGCCATCAATGGAAGGCAATGAAAGCACCAGATGTTATGAATGCAAATAGCAGAATATATAAAACAGTAGGAAATGATGAAAAATTGTACTAATAATCAGTGCAGCAGTACAATTATCCTTTGAAGGAAATGGAAAGATGAAATCTAAAGAATAGTACTAGAAAAGCATAAGCTTCAGAGAGAGAAGAGAGTCATATTCTTCTACATTCAATTTCCCCCCTTTAGTAACCAATCATTGGCCTATTTAACATATTCAGTGGCATATTTTCTGTTAGAGCTCCTTTCTCTCATTCCACGTCTTGGCACCGAAAAAGCAGGATCTTGTGTCAAGTGTCCATCATTCTCATTGGATTCAGTTGTTGTATTGACTATTCTGCCCTCACTCATAATAGTAAACTTTTTTTTTCTAAAGTTCGTCATTGAAAAACTTTTACCGTAAAAATTATCCTGAGAAGATTTTCTACATAAATAGACAATAACAATATAAACGAATTTATTCTAAGATTTTCAAAATGCAGAATAATACATTAATTTTCATAAATTAAACCATGCTCATTCACCAACCAACAAAACATAAGTTTATTTATTTTTCTTCTAAATTTCCCAGCAAAATACCATGTCCTTGTCTCATCTTCTTCATGGTCATTGTGTCATTTCATTATGTAATTAATCGTCAGTTTCATCGAAATTTTTGCTATCACAAATTTTGTCTAACATTATCATCGATAAAGAAGTTTGAAATAGATTCGAATTAAAGATAGTGGAGAATTTAGTGCAGGATCCTATTGAAGATTGAAATAAGAAATCAATTTTTTCAAAATAAGAGAAGTTGTGGTGCAGTGCAAGAGAAGATAAATGAAATCTGTTAGATTACAGTGAATAATGAATCCATTTATATTGTTCTCTCATGGTTTAATCTCATGAAAATTAATGTATTGTTCTGCATTTTGAAAATTTCAGAATAAACCCATTTATATTGTTATTGCTAATATATGTAAAAAAATGTTCTGAGAATAATTTTTATGATAAGTTTTTCAATGACAAACTTTTCAAAAAAAAATTGTCTACAATCATGTTTGTTTTATTTTTGTTTTTATAATAATTGAATGGAGTAAGATTAAATTATGTTTTGATTTGAAGATTTCTCCAAATTCAAATTTTTTTCTCTCTCTTCTTCATAAATAATATTTTTAATCAATTTTATTATTGTTTTTCAACCATTGGATTAGGCACTGCAGAGATAATATTGTTTCTCAACCATTGAATTAGGCACTGCAGAGATAGCAGAACACACATAACAGGAGAGAATCCTATTCCCTGTAAGAGGGATGTGAATCATGATCATATGAGCAGTTAATCAATGCATTTATACCCATTTGTTGATGTTTAAATAATTTCCTAATTTAATAAAACAGAATATAGTTTTATAAGGATTTAAATTTGAAGGTACAACTTAATTTAACATTATGCTATAAGTGCTAATTTCCATAAATTCTTTCATACATTCTTACAAGTGTTTGTTAGTCGACATAAATTCAAAGACTGAATCCTCAATCGACAAAGTTATAGAGATCATATATTATGGTTTGAAACTCAATGTTTCATGGAACCTTTGCGACAGTTACAAACAAAATCTATATACATATCATGTGCATGTCCTTCGAGACACGGTACCCTTGAAAACTTGCACAATTTTAACAACAGATGGCCTGGGCTAATTCAAACTATTGTTGCCAGCAAAGCAAGCTGTTTAACCCACTGACCCTTCAAGCTTCAAGCTCATGAGTTGGTTCACCTCAGAACCAAACTCATCAGGAAGCTCATTGAAGACATCGCGGCAAAATCCAGATATCATAGCAGCCATTGCTTTTTCATAGTCTATTCCTCTTTGTTGGAAGTAAAATAACTGATCTTCGCCAATTTTGGATGTACTAGCTTCGTGCTCGACTCGTGCCGATGGATTCTTCACCTACAAAACAATTGCGATTTCATGAGCAGAAGAGTTTTGGCATATCCGAGTAACAGAATAAAAAACATGCATCTTCAAGCTATATACAATGTATGGAAAATAGGATGATGAAAATCAGGAGGCAAACCCGACATCAAAAAGCTCCAGGATACTAACAACAATCTATAGTGTTTGTTCAACATCACCTTGATTTAGATTGCATGTATTTGCGTAAGAAGTACTGATATTCAGCACTAAAACCCCCATTTAGTTCTTAAAACAGAGCCATACATTTGGCCACAAAACAATTGCCAATTTCTCACTGTGTTATGCTCATACAAGGCACAAACATATGTATGATTTGGAACATAGTAGTCATTCTCGGATAACGGTGCAGGGCGGCCGACCCCAAAAATGGGATGGCGGAAAAGATTATAGCGGGATGGCCTCTCAATTTGGTATTTTTTTGGACAATTACATATAATAATTATTAAGATATATTTAGTGTAAAACTAAACAAATAACTGAACTCATAAAATATTCAATAATCAAAGCACACATGACTCTTGAAGTGCATAAACAACCACAAAGAGAGGTTAAAGTTGAGTCTCAACTTAAATTTGATTGAAAAAGCTATAAAATTAAGGGATAATTTCGGTTTTCTAGAGGGGAAAAGGATAGCGGGGCAGAAACTGCTCTGGGTCAGGACCACTCTGCTCTGCTATCCCGCTATTTACCTTATAGCGACCTTATAGAGACCACTAGTGTTCTGCACCGTTAAAGCTCTTTCGCTAGCAGTCGGCATCCGCTCCGCTATAGCGGGATAGTGCCGCTATTGGTCGCTATTGACTACTCTGATTTGGAATTTGATATAATCAGGGTTTAATCATTCAAAATATTTTAGTTAAAAACTTTTTATTAAATTGAAGAATTATTGAATAGTGACTACATTATTTATTTCTATTTTATCCAATACAATCGGGACTAATTTTCTATTCTAATACTACTGTAAGGATTTCTACCAGAACTTGAAATTGGTCAAGTAAATGTTCAATACTTTATATTTTGCTTCCTTTTACAACTAAAAAGCACAAATACAAGTTGACAAGCAAATACAAATTGTCCATGACGAAGTTATTACTAATACAATAAGTATTAATTAATAATATTAACGAGAATCCAATCAAATGAAGCATGGACTCTGACACGGTCACTGGAACACGACACGACACGGACACTCCAACACCGAAAATGTTATAACATAGGACACCGATACCACTATATATAAGATAGTATTTAAGCTTTATTTATCCATCAATGATTAAATAAGTTGAAAATTTTCTAATCAAAATTAATGTCTTTAATAATACACGGTTAACAATTTTAAATTTGTGTGAGATTTGTCCAAAATATGTATAAAAGTGTGTTAAAGCAAAGAAAAAAACAAATTTTTGTTTAAACACTTGTCTAAATTGTCAAACATATGTGTTATGAGTGTTGTATGGGTGTCAACCATTGATTCGAAGAGTATCGAAACAATGAAAAAAACCATTCTTAGTGGACATTTGTCTGACTTTTCCGACACTTATGTGACTTTTCCGACACATGTCGGACACCGCGACATGCCTACTCATAGAGGTGTCCGTGCTTCATAGAATCAAATCAATAAAAGAATGTAAATACAAAATAGAAAAAAATATGATACCTGGATATAAGGATATGTATTGGCAGCTGCAGTATCGCCAATAAGCATGGAATCACACTGCGAAGAGTTTTTCGCATTCTTCGCCTTAGACTGAACCTGAACAAGCCCTCTATAACAATTCCTCGAATGTCCAGCAGAAATACCCTTGGATATAATCCTACTCCTTGTATTCTTCCCTTTATGTATCATCTTGGTCCCTGTATCAGCCTGTTGATAATTATTAGTCAAAGCAACGGAATAAAACTCTCCAACACTATCATCTCCCTCCAAAACAACACTCGGATATTTCCAAGTAATCGCGGACCCAGTCTCCACCTGGGTCCACGATATCCTCGATCTCGCACCAGCGCACAATCCTCTCTTGGTCACAAAATTATATATCCCACCTTTCCCATTCTCATCCCCCGCATACCAATTCTGCACCGTGGAATACTTAATCTCAGCACCCTCGGCGCAATACAACTCAACAACAGCAGCATGAAGCTGATTCTTATCATACGATGGCGCAGTACACCCTTCCAAATACTCAACCGAGCTTCTATCCTCGGCAACAATCAACGTCCTCTCGAATTGCCCAGTCTCCAACGCATTGATTCTAAAATAAGTTGAAATCTGCATCGGACACTTAGTATCCTTAGGAATATAACAAAACGACCCGTCACTAAAAACAGCTGCATTCAACGCGGCATAATAGTTATCATCGCTAGAAACAACTCTACCTAAGTACTTCTTAACCAAATCAGGATACTCTTTAATCGCATCAGAAATGGAACAAAAAATAACACCAGCTTTCTCAAGTGTCTTCCTATGAGTAGTAGCAATCGAAACACTATCAAGAACAGCATCCACCGCGACATTCGCTAACCGATTCTGTTCGTTTAACGGAACACCGAGTTTATCAAAATACCTAAGAAGCTCAGGATCGGCTTCTTCTAAGCTATTAAGCGACGGTTTCTTCTTCGGAGCTGAGTAATAACAAATATCCTGAAAATCTATAGATGGATAAGTGTTATCTGACCAATTAGGTTCCTTCATTTTGGAGAATTTCTCGAAGGCGTTGAGACGGAAATTGAGCATCCAATCAGGTTCTGATTTTAGGGTTGAGATTAACCTGATTGTTTCTTTGGAGAGTCCTTTTGGGATGGTGAAGGAATCGATGTCGATGTTGAAGCCGAATTTCTTGTCGTAATCGCGGTTGCGGAGGATTTCGCGGATCTTGTCATCGGAGGAGGTGTTGCGGGGTTCGTAGCTGACGTCGGCGCGGATTTTGAAGGGTTTGGGTTTGGGGGTTTTGGAGACTGAGAAGTGGTTAGGGTGGAGGGTGAATTTGGAGTAGGGGGGTTCGCGGGTGTGTTGGGGGTGTATGGAAGAGAGGCTGCCGTTGATAAGAGAAGCCATGGGAATGGTTTTGGAGATTGGGAAGTTGTTGTGGAAACTTGTTGATATCGTGTGGGTAACACGTACTAGTTTGTGTGTGGGACCCGTTTAAGGATCATTGTGGAAGTAAATTTTGTTGGATGTATGAAGGGAAATCGACTAACTATTTAAGTTTAATTTATAAATAAAAGGGCTTTTATGTTTACATAGAAGCACATTCTAATACCTTTCTTTTGCAACCACCTTCTTTCATTACCATACAACAAATCACAAACCCTATCTGTAAATGATTTTTCTTAAATTTGAGTTCTGGTTAATTTAATAGGAGTTTTGATTTTTAATTTAAAATATTAATTTATTTGATTTTCAATTTTACCAATGTTTATTGTCTAGGTTGTAGAGCAGAAGAAAAAACAGAACCCTTAAAAAAGGGGAGGAGAGAAAATAGATAAAAAAAATATATAAGGTGAAAGGGTTCAATGCAAGCTTTAATAAGTTATCATGATTTAACGGCTCTCAATTGTGATTTACAGTGAACTATTTATTTGTTGGCTTTATTAATGTGTGAGACACTTTTAGTTAGGGAGAAAGAGAGAGAATAAAAATAAAGATTGATATTATTGAATTATGATTGTACGAATTGAATTACAAAATATGTTTATTTGTATACAAATAACTTGTATACTAAGTAACAAACCCTAAATCCTGGTTTACTTTGAACTTAAGCTACACAACTTGGATTATATCACAAGATACCCTCTATAATCCAAGTTTTCAAACCTATGCTAATCATAGTCGGTTTGAACTATTCCTAATTTCTTTCTCAAATTCAGGAATATGTCGATCTTGAACCCTTTGGTGAAAATGTCGGTCAACTGTTCTTCATTTGAGTAATGTCTTACTTCAAGTTCATATTGATTTACCTTCTCACTTAAGAAGTGAAATCTAGTTTCAATGTGCTTACTCCTTCCATGCAAAACTGAATTCTTTGCAAGATTTATGGTTGACTTGTTGTCGATATGCAGCACCAGAGGTTTCTTCACTTCGACCTTAATCTTTTTCAGCACAGATCTGATCCATATTGCTTGACACGCAACGTAGGATTCTGCTATATATTCAGGTTCACACGATGACAATGCCACCATATATTGCTTTCTTGAGCACCATGAGACTGAGACATCAAATACTTGAAAGAAATAACAAGTTATGCTTCTTTAATATTCCTTATCTCCACACCAGTCAGAATCTGAATAGCAAGTAACCATAGTTTCTTTACTTTCAGAGTCTCGTCAAAATAGAATTTCATAGTTTATCAATCCTTTTTGTTAGAACAAAATATGTTCATGATGTATATCCTAAGTTTTGATCATAAAAAAAGTATTGAAAGAACAACGATGTTATCTAATGTGTGCTCAAGTATGCAGGTTCTTATACTTAGAAGATATTTTCAGAATCTGATATGAAGGTGTAATACCCCAAATTTTGCCCTAAGATTAGTCGTTTCATCTTGCATCCCATTTCATTGTGCATTGCATTTAAACTAACCACTAACGGGTTGTGCAGTTGTGTGATTGTTGCAAGAAAATATCATGTGGCCCGCTCTATTAGTTTACAGGGTTTCTAGTGCCACTTTATTTTGAATGAATAAAATAGCACAATTGGCAAGAGATCGTGTGTAAGGAGTTGTGAGTGTGAGAGGTCGAGAGTTCAGAAAAACTAGGTTTTTGTTTTAACCCTCCCTCTTCATCTTCTTGCATGCGGCGCTGCTGCCATTGTTGCCTGTTGAAACTTTTTTCTTCTTCTTTGCATGACCACGATCCCTTTTTCTTTTCCTGCAAAACAACATCAAAAGAAAACAGCCGTTAGAAACAAGAGTTACTCACCTTTCACGAGTTTGAAGTGGTTTTTCTACGATAAACGATGAGGGTTAAAACAAAAACCTAATAACACGTTCAACCGTAACCCTCCCCCAATTTATCCCCTCTTATTATTTTTGTTGTCTTCTATTTTTCTTTCTTTTTCATTTATCATTTGTTTGTCTCATTTTTTAATTAACTTGAAATGATATTATAAGGTAGTAACTAGTTCTACAATTTTTCTTTTTGATTAAAATTAAAAACTCTCTGTTTTTTATAATTAATATTAAAACTTCTCTTTTTATTTTAATTAAAAATTAAAACGCTTTTTGTTATAATTAATATTAGGATTTCTTTTATGTTAAATTAAAAAACTGAAAAAAAATTTAATTAAAAAAACTTAACTCTTTTTCAAATAAATAAATAAAACTTGATTTTCTAGTTAAAAATTCAATTCTAACTCTTTCTTTAAAAAAATAGTTTTTTATAAAACTAAAATCCACTCTTTTTTTCAAAAATTAAAATTAACTTCCTTCTTATTTAAAATAAAAATTCCAACACCTCATTCTTTTTTAATTAAAATTTATCTTTCATGTAATTAAAATTCTAATTGTTTCTTTAAATTAAAATTTTTAACACTCTTTTTTAAATTAAGATCCTAGCACTTTAATTTCTTTTTCGTATCATAAATTTCTAACTTTTTATTAAAACTCTAACGGTTTAACTCAAACTTTTTCTTAATAAATTTCTAACATTTCTAACATTTCACACTTTCATTCCAATTTTCTAACTAAAAAATACTAAAATAAAAATGCTTAATATTCCCGTTTAATTTTCATCTTTTGTCCTTGGCTACTAATCCTTTATTTTTTCACATTTATTTTTATGGTTGTAATTTATGCGAGGACATCGTCGCTTTTATTTCGTTATTATTATTACATTCTTTGGATTGTAATTTATGTGAGGCTATCGTCGCAGTTATTTATTTTTGCATTTTGAGATTTGTAATTTACGCGAGTGATCGTCGCGATGCTTTCTTTTACTGCTTTCATTATCTTTCGTACTTTAATTCTGCCGTATGATAATATTTGTTGTTTGCATGTTTTTTTACCGTTAATCACCCTCCGAAGGAATTAGGTCTAGCAGTTTGACCGCCGAGTCAATAACCCTAATTTTTGACCGTTTCAAAACCCTAATAGCCTAGGTCCCGCCGTGGACGAAAACGCCATTTATCCTAGCTTTTAGGTCAAAGAGTCGTCGTACTCTGTTTAGGATTTTCCGTCGTGGAATTCCTAATTTTAACCCTAGTTTCATTTCAACATTTCAACGTAGAAATAGGAGTTTCAAAACTCCATGTAAGTGTGTCCTTAAGATACGTTTACTCCCCTTGAAACCTTGACCACGGTCAAGAAGTTTCTAACCTCCCTTTCGAGGGGAACTGCGATTACTCTGATTCCATTCCCTATCCAGGATACGTAGGCACAAGATGCGAATCTTGCCGAGTAAACTTAGGACTAACCCTTAGGTCTTTAGGTCACTCTATCCCTTAGCTCAATATATGTTAAAGCAGATAATAAAATAAAATAAAAAACATACAATAAACAAAAGGTTCTTGTAGAGTACTACAGAAGTTTAGGGTGCTAGTACCTTCCCTAAATTTAACCAACCCCTTACCTAGGTCTCTCCCCGCATTGTGTTTACGATGCAAAAATAGGTTTTCCCTCTTTTTTACCTTTTCCTTCAGATAAACCAAAGAGCGGTTGTGAATCAAGAATTGTGATTCAAACTAATTAATAGTTTGATATCCTATTTCCACCGTAACAGAAAATGACGACTTCACTGGGGATCCATGACCTAATTTTTAAGGGTTGCCCATATTTTGTTTATTGTATGGTATTTCTATTTTATCTTATTATCTGTATATATTGTACCTTGCTTTGGGTATCTTTGTTGTGAGATAAGTCCTACACCCGGACTTGAGTGACATTATTATAGGAAGGTGATATATTCGACGAGGCTTATAGGGAGTGGAATCCCGACCAAGCTGACTCGAGAATCACCGCTCAGTTGAGACCCTTTTGAAAATGGTTCGGTTGAATGAGTAATCGTGAAAACTTTTACTATTATCGATTGGAGTCTGTGATACTGGGGACCGTAGTACCTTAACACCACTTTGGCCTTATATAGAACGTAGTGCGGGAACTATGAGGGAGTAATTCCAAAATGGTTGCTACGCGATACTACACTCAAAAGAGATTCTCTTTAGAATATTATTAATCACCGAGTTAATCGGGAAATTGATAATATCCGAAAGATGGATTGATGACTTTGGGCACTTCTTTAGAACCTTGTTCTGCAGGTACAACTAACCGTAGTACATACCTTATGGGGATGGGTAGACCCTAACTCCTTATACCTTTAACCTAGGACTTTGTATATATGCATTGCATCCATAAGACATCACATTGCATCACATGTCATGGAATTCACATGTTATTTATGAATATTGCAGGATACCATGGATTACAAAAAAAAAAACTTTGAGACATTCTTTTAAAAGATTTAAGTTAGATGACCTAAGGAAGCTAGGAGCTTTGGTTCAAGATCAACAAAGGATCCAGAAATATGGAAGGTCATTATTTTTGTTGAAACCTCAAGTAGACGAAGGTTTCCTTTCGACTTTGTTACAGTTCTAGGATCCAGATTATCTTTTCCTTACATCCCTCGAGTATCAGCTCTTGCCTACCCTAGAAGAGTACTCTTAATTGGTGGGGTTACCTATTCTGAAGGAGTTTTCGTTCCCTTTCTTGGAGAAAGACCCTAAAGGACAAGACCGTTGCTAAAGCCATATGCTCGAAGTTATCTGACATCAAGGACACTAATCACCAACAGTTGTGGAGACTTTTCAAACGTACCCTTGTTTGGTTTCAATGGAGGATTTATTTTCCTCCAACTCTCAATCAACCTTTTAAAGATAGGCGCATCCTAAAAATAAATAAAAAAGACCCAGCTAGAAGAGCAGACCAAGGGGCAAAACAGGAAGCTTCCTTAGGGTCATTATTAGCTTTCATTTAGCTATTATGCCAAGACTTTTCTAAGAATATTATTTGTAATCCGTTTTCAAATTAATAAATAAAGTTTTGGTATTTTGCAATATTCGTAAAT